AACCACATTCAAACTGCGCTCAAACTTCACTCAAACTTCACTCAAACTTCACTCAAATTACATTCAAGCTGCAAAACTTCACTCAAACTTCACTTAAACTTCACTCAAACTTCACTCAAACTTCACCCAAACTGCAAACCACTGTGTTAGTGAAGTTTGAGTGCAGTTTTGCAGTTTGAGTGAAGTCTGAGTGAAGTTTGAGTGAAGTTTGAGTGAAGTTTTGCAGTTTGAATGCAGTTTGAGTGCAGTTTGAGTGCAGTTTGAGTGAAGTTTTTTGCAGTTTGGGTGAAGTTTGAGTGAAGTTTGAGTGAAGTTTTTGCAGTTTGAGTGTAGTTTGAGTGAAGTTTGAGTGAAGTTTGAATGAAGGTTGAGTGTCCTTTTGCAGTTTGAGTGAAGTTTGGATGTAGTTTGAATGTTTTTTGAAAATGTCCTAAATCTAAAATCTAATGCCCGGATTCTTATGTGCCGACTTGTTTAGCAGTCTGGGCACATGTCCCAGTGCTTTTGCGACGCTTTTTTCGGCAACACTGATGCAAAAGTGGGTTTGGATTCTTGGTATAAGCCATGTGCGTTGGTATAGTCTTGCTGGAACGCCCTTGCGCAAGACACCAGCACTCTCAATGATGGTCACAGCACGGGCAGCAAACACTATTGCAGCATGTTTTCGGACCTTTTCCATGCCCAAAATCTCCAAGTTTGCCCAAAGCCAATCAACCCTTTTTTGGTCATCCCACACACTTCCAAACAGCTTTTTGTAAATCATCCAGTGTTGCTTAATGCTTCGCCCGAGGGAAACATCTAGGCAGTTGGCAAGAATAGGCATGTGGGTGTGTGACACTTTATTGCCTGCGCATCGGCGAGGGCTGTGTGTCATTTTCTGCCAAGCCACACACTTATGCTAACCAAGACAAAGTAAACCAACATTCCTACTGGGAATGCCAAAAGGGCACAGAATTTGCAGCGCCCGGCGAGAAGCTGTTCATCATGTGGGACGATGGCGAGGGCATGTGGATCACAGTGAATCTACGCTAGGCAGTCTTTGGCTGCAAGGGGAACTTCTTTGAGCGTGGATGGCGCAAATAGGCTTCTCAACTCCACGCGCTGACGTATATTTGTTTATCTTTTTTTTCTCTGTCGTGTGGTTCCGGGTCACACTGTGCAAAACGCAGCGTCATGCCAATCGGTCACTACGGACCCAGTGAGTGCAAATGGAGCGATAATGAAATGAGACCCGCGTCCCGAGCCCTTTTTCAAGTACAGAGAGAGATGATGCAGCTGTGGACTGTTGATTCTGCATATGATGTGCCAGAGCTTGCGCCGCCGCCGCGCACAAGATTGTTTGCTGTGAACAGTTTTCACCCAGTGTGCAATTGTGTGCTGACCAAACTGTTCTGTCTATAAAAAGAAACACGAAATTGATAGCTGTTGCTGTGCGGAAGCCTCTGTGTGCTCATGTTTACCCATCATCTGCAGACACAGCCGCAAAAGACCCGGCCGGCGCAGAAGTCCGAGGCGACAAAAGACCCGCGAACGGAGCTTGCAGCTTTCCTGTGTGTGTGACGTTCTTCCACACACAGCTCGTGTCGACACACATCCTGACGACGAATCTATAGCGCCCTTCCACAGTTGTCTCGCAATTTTTTTCTCCAGCTCCAGTTTCAACCCACAGGATCAAATGATGGGACTGGGCTCCATTTTGGCTCAAGTTCCGCGACAAGACAACCTTGAAGCCACCGAAAGGATAGGTAAACAAACTTGAAACCTGATAAAACTGCACATGCCCTAAATCTATAACGAATCCAAGAATGCCCCAGATTCCAATTTGCCGACTTTTTTCCCCACCCCCGCGCACAGTTTCAAAAAATCATTTTTTTGCGCAGCTCTCATGCGTCTATGCCGCCCTTCCACGGTTGTCCCACTGTTCAGCCGCATCTCCCTTCAAAACCTTTTTCCCCAGCTCCAGTTTGGTCAAATGATGCGACTGGGCTCCATTTTGGGCCCCACACTTATTTTCCTCAGCCCCAGACTTTCCTGTCGTGCAGTTCTTGCGAATCTTTATAGCGCCCTTCCAGTTGTCCCACTGATCATGCCGCATCTCCCTTCAAAACCTTTTTTGCCCAGCCCCACAGTTTCACGACTCACAAGATCACCCAGCTCGCAAGGCGATCGCACAAACAATGAGACTGGCAGTTGTGGGTGACTGGACATGTTGTGCTGCATAGTTGATTTCTCTCTCCTGTTCCAAATTAAAACTAGAGGACGATTGGCCCGAAAGCATTTTTCCCCAATTGCTCAGCCAGCCGCGGAGACACCTTTTTACATCGCTGCGGCGAGCGTGTTTGCGCGCGGCGATGCTCAATGTGTATGGTCACATGAGAGCTCCATCTCATCGTCCTACGAGGGGAAGCGTGGCAGTGCTCGATCCCATATATCTACATCCGTTAAAACAAGAAGAGTGGTGAAGCTCGTAAAGCTCGAAACGAATTACAAGCAAAAGGAAAAGCAATCAATAGCAAAGCTTACACGACGGCCACAGTTTCTGCAAAGCACGCTCGCGCAACTTAGCTCTGCGCAAGATGGCTCTGTGCAGCTTGGCTCTGTGAAAGTTGGCTCACTTTTCGCGAGTGGCTCTGCGCAACTGGCTCTGCGCAAGTTGGCTCTGCACGAGTCTGCTCGGCGCAACGTGCTTTGCGCGAACTGCGCCGCGCGACTTCTCACGAAAGTGGTCTGCGCAAGCTGCATTGTTCCAGGCTGCTGGGCGCAAGTTGCTCTCTGCAAGCTGCTGCGCGCAAGTGCTCTGAGCAAGTGCGCAAGTGCTCTGCGCCAGTTGCTCCGTGCAAGCGCTTTGCGCATGTGCTCTGTGCAAGTTGGTCTGTGCAAGTTGCTCTGCGCAAGTGCTTTGTGCAAGTGCTCTGTGCAAGTTGCTCCGCGCAAGTTGCTCTGCGCAAGTGACTCTGTGAGAATGTACTTCGCGTACTATTTTTGTACTTAAAAGTTGCGATTATGCAGCCGGAGCTGCGGGAGCACGCTCCGCGTACTACGTTTGTACTTAAAAGCTGCGATTTTCAAGCGGGAGCTGCCGTGGGGCAGGGGGGAATCGAACCCGCGACCGCGGGATTGCGAAAGCAGGCGCGCGAACCACGAGACAATTTCCAACAGCGCCCTGGACCGGGCTCGACTCCAGGCTGCGATGACATCTGTCACAGAAACGATGACATTTGTCACAGAAACGATGACATCGCGGAATCGATGACTTATAAGACGCAGAAACGACAACGCGTGCCACAGAAACAATGACACATGTCACAGAAACGATGACAAGCTCGGCTGGCTGCCTTGTCACCCAAACACATCGTAGCTCAGTCGGTAGCGCCTCTTTCAGCAGCGCCCTGGACCGGGGCTCGAATCCAGGCGGCGACAAGGAAGCTCCCAGCTGCAGCGCTCGGGTTGCCTTTGTCAAGAATGATTCAATATTGACTCAAAAATGCCCTGGTATCAAGGCGTGTAAGCCTGCAGAGCAACTCTCAAAGCGAGAGAACGAGGTTTTCAGAAGTTGCAGAAATGCATTTTGTGCCCTTTTTCCACCCCGCGGAAGCCGATGACAAGACGATGACATGCGGTGACAAGTGATGACATTGGCCCGAAAAGTGCCGATTATGCGTCCTTTTTGGGCCAAAACCGCATTTTTTTCGGTCCCTATAAGCTGGCTTTCCTTACTACTGCAAACCAAAAATGCATGTTCGTTTGGCGCAGCTCATGAGCAACAAGAAACGTTTGCTTTCCAGGAGATGTTGCAAAAGCTGGGCCACCCTGACAAGACCTCGTTTGAAACATCTTATCTGGCTTTTAGCTCTGGTTGGCTGAAACCAAGCGGTGCCTTTTCCCAAGCGGTTAGTAGACCGTAGTACAGCGTTGAGACTTTGAAGATGATGGCGAAGGGGCTAAACAAGTCCATTCTGCAACAGATAAGGGCCTTGGACGCAGAGCCGGAGTTGGTTATGAAAACGTGGGAGCAGACGGAGAAGGAAATCGCGTTTTTGCAAAGCCCTGCAAACATGTTTTGGCAAAGCGGTTTGGTCTGCAGCAGAAGACCAAAGTGAGAGCCAAGATGACTGTACCATAGGTGGCCTGAACAAAGCGCTGGGCTTGGCCAGCGCGGCAAGGCCGGGTACAAGGCAGAAAGGCTTTTGGGTCGCACCTACGACTTGAAGTCCGCTTACAAGCAATTTGTAAAACATGTATCTATATATATATATATACATATATGTTTTTCTTTTTTCCCCCCAAATATGCACAAGTGTTTAAATTTTCAAAGGCAAACAAAACAATGGCAGGTCCCACATGGGCGCCATGGGGCCTGGTACTTTGGTTTTCGTTGTTTCAATACACAACGGTTTTCACGCGCTTTCAAAACATGCAACAAATTCGAGCCGCCAAGCAAACAACAAGAAATCGTGGAGTGTGTCGTTTTGTGTCTGAGCTTTTGGAAATCTCGTCGTTCTCACATTTTTCCAAACAGTATCCGGGCGCAACATCCCAAACAATAAAATGGGAATGCCGGGCCTGCCTACTTCTGACTTACTGTAGCACACGCAATTCTCACATGGGTTTGTGCATTTTTTTGGCCCACCAACTCAGCATAATTGTTTTTCTCCCTGGCCGTTGTGAATGGTCGTGTGTGAATACCTCATTTGAAAAGAGTGCTTTGTATATTGACCCAAGTGAAAACTACATGAAAGTACGGTTTGGTAAGCAGTGAAATGGATTCAGATGAGGATCGATGGTGCGTAACACCTCTATTTGCATCAAATACAATGTGTGTTTTGCAGCTTTTGCACATCGCAGCTGGAGCTGTTGCTTGTTCAGTTTTGGTGGTGCAAGTGGTGGAGTCTACGTGCAGTCCTTTTTCGTGGCCGGTGCCAAAAAAGGAAGGATGTCCAATGGCTGTTTGCCGACTGCCGACTGCTTTGAGGCTCAGAGGTTTGGGCCAGTGCCCAGAGATGACGGACTTCATTGTGGCACCGGTGTCGGAAGGCAGCATCGAGTCCATCCAGTCCATCCAATCGGAGGCTGATCCCAAAGGCCAAGCTTTGGGCAAGGGCCACACGGGCCACACGTACTGGGAATTCTCCAAGGCCTTCTTGAAGTTGACGTGGCCGCTTTTGCTGGGAAACACTTTGGAGTGGTACGAGTTTGGCATCTACAGCTACGTGGAGAAAGAGATCGCGGCCAATTTCTTTGGAGGATCTGCAATGGGCGCCTGGCTGGGCTACGCTGTCACCTTTGTTGCACGGCCCTTGGGAGGTGGCCGTGTCCGGAACCGCCGTGCTTTTTTGATTCTATTTTAGCTTCTGAGCGGCTCATGCAGACCGGTAGTGTGAACAAGCTTCAGCTCTTGTGCAGGAATCATCCTTGGCTTTATCGGCGATCACTGCGGGCGGAAACTTGCTGTGAACCTCTCCCTTGCGGGCATGGTCTTTGCCACCGTTGGGCAAGGCGGGCGGAAACAGTATTTTGCACAAGCTCACGTGATATCCCCAACAGCATGCGGTGCTCCTTTTAGTGCTCGCACCGCCCCGCAGCCTCGCAGAACCTCGTGGAACCCTGGTGGAACCCTGGTGCCTCAGGGCCGCCCCGGACCACCCCGGAGCCTATCTGGGCTGGGACCCCAAGCTTTCAGCTGTTGGGGAAGAAACATATTTGGGCAACAGCGAAGCTTCAGTCGGCAAGGGAATGCCTCAAGGCAAACAGGATTGTGCCAGAGTGCATGAGGCAGTCTGCTGTGTTTTTGTGTTGTTGCATCTTGTTTATCACGGCCTGTCCATGTCTCCTTGTCAGATCTCTTCAGAGTTTCTTGTGTTGGGTCGTGGAGAGGGGGATCCTTCCAGGTGCACCAGCCATACTTTTTGTGAGCCATTCTTTTTTCCTCGGTTCCAACGTGTCGCCGCTGGCCCTCAGACGGCTTTTCGGTTGCATCGAGGTCTGCTGCCGGGGGCCCACCTGGGGAAGAACTTCCAGGCGCAACATGCGGCAAACCGTCGGAACTCTGGGCACGTGGGCAGGTTTTGGGCCAGTTCACTGGGTAGAACGAGCGAAAGCCGTGGGGATCCCATTGTTGCAAGTTTTGGCATTTTACCTTTTGCGGATGTGACAGGTGCTGGGCCTGGTGCTTCTGATTTGCCTGCGAGCAGTGCAGGGCATCTCCGCGGGGGGTGAGATCGCGGCCATCGCGGCCTACATGCTCCGGATCTGAATTGATGGGGGTGGGGGGGCTGGGGCCGTTGGCGGGATGTTCCCTTAGCAATGAGTTCATCCGCTTTGGTGCCCTTCATGTTTGCCCAAAGGTTTACTAGGCGAAACACTATTCCGTGGTTCGTTTGCGCTTTTGGCGGGGCTTTGCGCCGGTTGTTGCTTGAAAGGGCGCGAAGTTTGGTGGAAGTGTTTTGGTCATGAACGAAATGTATTCTTCATGTTGTTCTCAAATTACCGCCAAGCTCTCCCCAGTAAAAGGGCTTTCTTGCGCCTGCTCATCTAGTGATCCGCAGCGCGCGGGGCATTTGGAGTGGGTGGAAAGACAAGAGTCTGCTTGTCAGATTTCATGTGCTCTCGTGCTTGCCACTCAGGCTGTTGGACACGCCAGGTGTTTGTTCATCTCTTTGGCTTAGTGTTTTCGCGAAGCCCTTGGCCGACCGATGTGAGGATGGAGGTGTCCCCGATGCAGACGCTGGGCATGGCGGTGTGCATGATCTCCGTTGGGAGCCAAATCGCCTGGGCCTTTGCCAGCGCACTGATGGCGCTGCTGAACTCGTGTCTGGGGCCGGAGCTGATGCTCACCTGGGGCTGGCGTGTGCCCTTTCTGCTCTCCGCACTGCCAGGCGAAAGGGGGGCGGCAGCAGCTACATTTGGAGCTCGGAGAAGAAAGGAACCTTGTTGGGGGGACCCCACAACAAGGTGGCCTCCTCCTTTGAAAAAGCACCCTCAAACAGCAAGACAAAGACACACCCATGTCGTGCCGGCCAGGCCATTGCCATGTGGGGACGGAACCGGATCCAGGAGAGCGAGGTTTTCATCGACGAGGCGGAGGGAGCGTCCCAAACCACTCCCAGAATTTGTTAGTTGTTGGCCAGCAAAAGCGTATGCACACTTGTGGTGTGGATTGGGGTGGGGGCCCACATCAACCTTGGTGAACACCTGGTGATTGCTGCAAAACGCATGGCAGAATCCTTCGAAAACTAGACGACACCGTTATGAGGCTGTCAAAAGGCACAAGCTCAACATGAAGCCAACGATTTGGTGACAGAAGGAAGCACACCATAGCAACTGTTTTTCAGCTTTCTGTTTTGCCAAGCTTCACTATCCAGCTCACCGACTCATCAACAAAACAGTGACCGTCTCTAGGACCCCGTTCAAATGAAGGGCAACATCACACCAGAAGGGGCCCCTACTTTTTGACATCCCATCTTGACGCCAAAAGTCGATTGGTGAACAGTGAACAGTGCAAGGTTCCATTTGGTTGCTCTATTTGAGAGTTAAACCCAGGAGTGGGGCACGCGCTAAAAGGGCCCCCCTGGGTTTCACTGCATTTGGTGGCAACAAATAATAGAGATGGGGTTGCCTGTGCGCTCGCCCAGGTGGAGTCCGACACCAAAAGTGTCTGCAGCGTGGGGGAGCTGGTTCGAAATCATCCGGGAAGTCTGCTTGTGGGTATTGGGGCAGTGGCGGCAACAGCCACCATGTGGCGCCTTGGATGACGCATAGTGACACAGAAGTCCATAAGCGTGAGTGTGTGTGTGTGTGTGTGTGTGTGAACGCATGCATGTGTTTTTCGAGGGTGCCCTTTTCAGGTTGCTTCAAAGGGCGACCAACAGGGTCAAAACGTGATTTCCACATGTTGTTTCTTTTTTTTTTTCTTTCTTTCATTGAAGCTTCCCTTGAACACAGAAAATGTTCAACCACAAATTTGCGAGCAGGTTGCAGTTTTTTTTGGAAATAGCGGCAACCAACGTGGTTGCAAACGAAGCAAAAACCGCAACATCTCCTGTTTCTTTGCAACTTCTCTCAATCAGATTGATGAAGGCATGGTTAGAAGCGGGAGCCGACGGGTTGCTTGTGGGGTTGGGAGCAAGTGTTGCTAGGTTCTCGCCACCCTTCTGGACCCTGAGCGCTTTGATGTCTGACCTGGGGGCCGCCGACGCCCTTTGGGTGGGCAACAGCTGCCAGCTGGTGGGCCTGGCAGTGACGCCCCTGGCGGGACTCCTGGCGGACGGGGTTGAGTCAACCGAGTTGTCAACGAGGTTTCGAAGTCATCCTGCTACACCGAACGCCAGTTTGGGAGTCAGTTTAGGAGGCTTTGTGTTTCGGATCCAGCAAGCAGCCTCTCCCAGCTTCCATTCTGGGTCGTATTTCCCTTGTTGTTTCCCACAACACACTTCTAACCCGGGGCCATGCCCCAAGACATGGAGGGGGTTGACTGGCAAGGCGGCCAACGACACCACATGACAACATTGGCCACCAAGACCCTTGGCTCATTTGGGGCATGAGTCATCCGCCGACTTCCCTTGACTTCCGAAGGACTACTTTGGGGTGGCCTGGGTGCAGCTGGTGGGGGCGCTCTACTGCGCGCTCGTCTCCTTCCCCACCTACGTGTGGCTCAGCTTCGACGCCTCCCGCCTGGCGGCTTACCTGGGGGTGGGCATCATCTTCGGGGTCGCGCAGGAGGGGCGGGAGGGGGTGGAGGCGCTGGTTTGCGGTATGGTGGCTGTGATGCTGGAAGCAAGATGTTGGTAGAACTATGTATGCATATATTATGATACATGGATTTGTGTGTGTGTATATTTTGTAAACGTGTATGATGCATTATGTTAGACATGCAAACTTGCCAGAGCCCTTTCCCAATGCCAAGGGTTTTTGTACGTGTGAGGTGTGCGGTGGCTAACATGAGCAGCATTTCGACCCCACACAGTTTCGCATTTATGCCGGGAATACGTTTGGGAACGCAAAAGAAGACCAAGGAATACAGGCTGACAAACAACTGTGCAGGTGCTTTGATGAGCATTTTCAATTATTTGACACAACGCAATTGACAATGTCCGTTTTGACACATATTGAGACACAAAGCAAGTTCCGGACTCCTTAGGAGACAAAGCAAGTTCTGCACTTGAGACGAACGCCGAAAGCGGGAAAGGCTTTTTTGGAAGGTTTGCTGGTGCTCAGCAGGGAATGACCTTCCGGGTGTTGGAAAGGAACCTGGGGATTCCCTTGAAGGAAACCAGAAGGGATGTTTATAGGGGTCATTCCATTTTTCATTCCCTGCCTACCGAACCAACAAGAAATATTTGGTTGGTTTGGTTCTATTGTCTTCTTTCGCTTCGCTGGCTTCGATTCGGGCAGCTCAGGGCTTCAACGGGGCGACAGTGTACCTCTTCTGCGCGGAGCTCTTCCCGCCGAAGTTGCGGTGCCAGGCATCGCTGGTTGTCGCGATTGGCCCGTAAACGTTCAAAAACCGCGTGCGCCCACGGTGTGCAGGGCTTGCCCTCCCCCGCAAGAAAGATGCCAGATATTTTTGGGGCGTCCAAAGTGGCCTCAGGGCATGGCGCTGAGCTACAACCTGGGAGTCTCCTTCCTGGGAGGCTTCAGCGCGAGCATCTCGCAGGCGCTGCTGGAGGCTGGTGCGCAGAAGCCGAGTTGGGGGCGCTTTGTGGGCCAGTAACTTGTGCTTAAAAGGGAGAACGTTGTCTTTTTGAGAGGCTCCCCCCAACCGGAGACAATCTCATGAGGCTTTCGAATGGTTCTGAGACCCACCCCGTTTGTTTCAGCTGGTGAATCATTCGCAGCCTGTTTGGGTTGGTCGGGGACGTGCTTTGTGAGCCTAAGTTTGCTTGCTGTTATCCTTTCGCCTTTGCGCTGCTGGGCAGCATTTGTGAGGTGCGGCCCAGGCAACCCATTTTTTGCCTTCTCAAAGTACTTCCTCGATGGAACCAAGATTTCGCCATGTACAGGTTTTGGTAGGTGCGAGATGTTGCTGTTCAAGAAAAACACGGTTTTATTCCCCCCCATATCCTCTCCACAGTTTCTTTGAGGTCTATGTTGTGGCAAATTGGGTGTTCCTATCGTAGGGTACCCGTTAAATTTGATTTTGGCCTGCTTTCAACCCCCACCACATGGGGTCCCTGATTCCTGTGCCTGTTGCTTTTCTGGAAACGTTTTTGAGGTGTCCTACCACTACGGGCCGGGCATCTACTGGTCAGCCTCGGGCGTGGTGGCATCGTGCACAATCCTTTTGGCGCTTTTGCTGCAGCGAAAGGGGTGGATCAAGCTGACCCACCGCCGCAGCGCGCCCTACTTCGGCCGGCGCGGGAGGTCTGTGCAGGACCGCTGTGACTCTCGGCACTTTGTTTTCTCCTGAAGGGAAATTCAGAGGTTGTTCGAACAGCAGAGGCTAAACGCAGTAAGCAGGCGGTTGGCCCAACGAGGCGTTGGAAGTTTCCTTACCAATGGACTGGGTCGAGCGCTGGCTTCCGCAACATTCACCCAACTCACCCAACCCACTAACCAATCAAGCAAAACAAGCTCGCAAGCAAGCAAGCAAGCAAGCAAGCAAGCAAGCAAGCAAGCAAGCAAGCAAGCAAGCAAGCAAGCAAGCAAGCAAGCAAGCAAGCAAGCAAGCAAGCAAGCAAGCAAGCAAGCAAGCAAGCAAGCAAGCAAGCAAGCAAGCAAGCAAGCAAGCAAGCAAGCAAGCAAGCAAGCAAGCAAGCAAGCAAGCAAGCAAGCAAGCAAGCAAGCAAGCAAGCAAGCAAGCAAGCAAGCAAGCAAGCAAGCAAGCAAGCAAGCAAGCAAGCAAGCAAGCAAGCAAGCAAGCAAGCAAGCTAGCAAGCAAGCAAGC